ATGAACTTAATAATAATTTAGTTAGGCTGCAAGAAGTTGATGAGAGGCCAACGAAGTAAGTGCTGGTATCATATTATTCTGCAAAAACTGTTGTACTTGCTTTAATCAAATAACGTATGTTCCTACAATGATTTAATTCAGAGGGAACAATACATGGTTACACAATACACAATTAACCACTGGTTTCGTTATAGATCCTGTACGAAGAGTATATTTTTCGCTGTAGAATAAACTAAGAATTTCGTAATGTGTTCTGACAAGGTGGTGACAAGAATCAGCCTATTACTGATGTAATCAAAAAATAAACTGGAAAAGGTTTCGAATTCACTGAAGTCAAAAGAGATTTGTATGTCAGTCCCAAATTCATGCCTTTTCTTTGATTTGTTCTTATGTTTCAACAAAGCACCATCACAATATACTGATGAACTGAAACAAAGTTGTCAAGGTATTCAGGGATCCTTATATTTGGCATCCATCGACAATTTGGGTAATTAGGAGGAGCTAAGTGTATGAGAAATGACTGTGTGTGAAACATAGTGAATTGTCTTACGTTATTGAGAAAATGTACTCACAAATACCTCTCCATCACCTAGTTAGCTGTGCACTTCCTTGAATACATAAGGTTATTCATTATATTTAGATGTTGTTATTTCTCAAACAAACTTTACACCCTCACACAGGGACGCAATCGCAAGAATGACAAGCTCAGTGGTGATATTTCAAACCACGACACGGAGTGACTCGGGTCCGAGTCCCACAGGGGGCGTCATCAAATCTTCGTGGTTGCAGATACGTCTTCTTGAGCAGTACTCACTAGCATCAATCTTCAGTTCAATGATTCTAGTTGACTGTCTCCATATATATCCAACATCAAACGCGAGAACAGGTCATCCAGTTTGTTTAGCACGCTGTATACATTGCTGTTAGAATTCAGTCAGCCACAGAACCAGTAATTAGACGCGTAACAACGGCTATCCGCAGATGGAAACTCAATGTAGATTTGATTTGTTTGTGTTACTAAGTGCAGCATAAGAGTTTGAATTCGTGTGCTCTACATGACAGTCATCTTATTGACATATTCAAGTTTAATGAGGTAAAAATGTGCATGATATTTTGTCTTCAGTTGAATACAATCATGCATTATCCCCATTCTGGCATAAATGGAAACAAAACACGTAAATCAAAGAAGAATCTCTTTTCGGTGAATTCATTTTCTTAGCTGTACAATCGCAAACATATATGTGTTATTTTTTGTATGTATGTGTACATTAGTTTGTCAAACAAAAATACAATTGGTTATAGTTATTTTAACTAAACAGGTGAAGATTGATAATTGGAGTTACGTAATACAAAATCAGTCAAGAAAATTAGGTGTTAATGAAATTAGGGTAGTAACAAAGGTGATGAGTTGTCAAAAACAGTTGTTAAAAAAGGTTATGTAATATTATGAATAGTTTGATGAGTGAGTTTTACCCAGAATGCACATAGGAACAAAGTAGATAATACGAAATTACGTAAGAGTTCTAAATGAATACAAGAATTATAAGTAATTAAAGAACAGGCAAAGAAACAAAATTAAGTCATCAAAATTTAAAAAAATCAAATCAAATCAAAAAAGTTGTTACCAAGACAGTAGAAGTGGTTGAGTAATCCTCTTTTATATGCACAGCTCCGGTTTTTCTCTGTGAATGGCCAGAGCTTCAGCGATACGAAGAAGACGAAATGGAATGATCAGTGTTAACCAGGTGTTCAATTATCCCACTCCTTATTGCACCTCTATTGCCTTTTCGCAACCATGCTGGATAGTGTTCTTGAATCCTCTTGGACAGGGTGCGCGTCGAACAACTGATGTACCTGGCTCCACAGCAGCAGGTGAACTGATATATGCACATAGAAGTGGTCAGATGTGGGATCTTGTCCTTGAGGCTACTGCAGATCAGTGGGCGACTGGGGGACACTATTCTTAGCGTTGCTGCAAAGAATGTTCTTCTCAGAGATAATATAATCCTATTGGAGTGTGTTTAAGTTCTCATTGGTATCAAAGGTTAACAGTCCGTAAAATTATGCTTCACTTCTGGTCTGAGAGTAAAAATATTAGATCAGGCTTTTCACATGAATTGCTTGAAAGACGGAAAATGGAAAGTATACAGTGTTATCAAGGTTATGAAGTGTGATTTGTCTATTCATTCAGAGCTAGGATGATGCATATATCGCAGAGAAACTCCTCTGAGTATGGTGGCGTTTGGCAGAATTGTGTTCATGCCTGTAGGAAAGGATGTGTGATAGTATTCCGATTAAATTTCAGAGGAGACTGATGAAGACTCTGAAGTGACTGGTAATTTGTTTAGTTTTAAAAGACTGAGAAATGCACTGTTAACTGTCAAATCTACATGTGAGACGATACAGCATTTTATTCTTGGCGATAATGGCGATGGCAAGGATCAATTTAACAATCAGAACGAAATTCATTGCACCTACCATAACTATGATGACGGAATTCCCAGAGTGGACTTTTGAATAAGGAAGATGTTAGCGCCTTGAATAAATGTAACATTCTTTGCAGGAATGATAGGTGTTGTCATCGATTCACTGAAATACATTTACAAAGTACATGATTTAAAAATATTCTCCAACTATGGAAGACAGTAAAGGCTGACATGAAGTACAGATATTGCTAGCGTAATGCATGTTTTTGTGGATCTGATAAACTGTAATTGCGCCTGAAAAGAAACTCAATATGAACTTGGATTTCAAGGGAGATTTATCAAGCGATATTCTCAAGAAAAGGATCATATCATCTCTGAGAAGAACATTCTTTGCAGCAACGCTAAGAATAGTGTCCTCCAGTCGCCCACTGATCTGCAGTAGCCTCAAGGACAAGATCCCACATCTGACCACTTCTATGTGCATATATCAGTTCACCTGCTGCTGTGGAGCCAGGTACATCAGTTGTTCGACGCGCACCCTGTCCAAGAGGATTCAAGAACACTATCCAGCATGGTTGCGAAAAGGCAATAGAGGTGCAATAAGGAGTGGGATAATTGAACACCTGGTTAACACTGATCATTCCATTTCAACAAACGCCTCTTGCTTCAAAGTAATCTACAGAGTCAAGAATAATCTATCAAAAGTAATACGGTTTCGTCTTCTTTGTATCGCTGAAGCTCTGGCCATTCACAGAGAAAAACCGGAGCTGTGCATATAAAAGAGGATTACTCAACCACTTCTACTGTCTTGGTAACAACTTTTTTGATTTGATTTGATTTTTTTAAATTTTGATGACTTAATTTTGTTTCTTTGCCTGTTCTTTAATTACTTATAATTCTTGTATTCATTTAGAACTCTTACGTAATTTCGTATTATCTACTTTGTTCCTATGTGCATTCTGGGTAAAACTCACTCATCAAACTATTCATAATATTACATAACCTTTTTTAACAACTGTTTTTGACAACTCATCACCTTTGTTACTACCCTAATTTCATTAACACCTAATTTTCTTGACTGATTTTGTATTACGTAACTCCAATTATCAATCTTCACCTGTTTAGTTAAAATAACTATAACCAATTGTATTTTTGTTTGACAAACTAATGTACACATACATACAAAAAATAACACATATATGTTTGCGATTGTACAGCTAAGAAAAAGAATTCGCCGAAAGGAGACTCTTCGCTGATCTACGTGTTTTATTTTCATGAATCTATTCAACCTTCACTGATCTACACATAACTTCAAATCAGGAGCTTCCATGTATGTCTGTTACAGTGTATTTCAAATGGGTGAACAAGATGTCTGTTGGGTGTACATTTATTTACATGGACCACGATAATTCCACTTGGAAGATAAAATGATTGGAATGATGAAGAATACAGAAGTGTATGATGATCAGAATGGTGAAGTTATTGGGGTTGGATTGAGAATTTTTGAGAATCGGTGCTATCGTATATGAATCACAGAGAATATTACTACCTACTGCCTCATATTTACGTGTCACATGAACTGTTCTCCGCTGAAATTTCCATTGAAATTCAAACAGATAACAAGAGATTTTTCACCTCAGTTGGAATATATAAAACATTGAAATTATCGGTTTACACGATATTATGTGAATTTCAACTGTCATTTATTATACTTTGAAAGTCAATTAAACAACTGGGTAGACAGTTCATTCTTATTATGCAACAGAAGTCTCACAACATCGGTAAATTATTCAAATAAAAATCTAACTATCAGTTATTTCTGTCCTTACCATTCTACACAGATCACTTTACGACTTATGTGTTTCAGCTCTCGGAATAGGTCAATAAAAATACAGACTGTTTGAACACCACTCAAAATGATCACAAATAAAATCCTAATCGGTTCATTCTCAGTTTTCTAGTGAAACACACAATCACGGTTGTCCATCTGACAAATAGTGGGTAAAATTAAATACTACTTGCGAACAGGAATTCCTTAGTAAAATAGAGAGTAGGTGAACAGGCTTAAGTATATCGGAAAGTATAAGCGACTATAGAAAAGAAATACGCTCTCGATAAAATAATATTTTCGCCACATGTGACAACGAAAACGTGAGCTCAGCATAAGTACGATATCAATTCCTTTGACGAAATTGTATCCTTCGCCCGACGAAGGATTTTTCATCACCTATTCATAAACAGAAACTTCAAGTTATTAGAAGTATGTGAGAAAGAAGTCAGTTAACACCCGTTCATTATCTCATAATGACACACACGATTAAATTTCTACATCATTTACGACTGCACAGTCACCTGTTTCTGTTAAATTTCAGCTAAAACGCAAGTGCACATCAATAGTGATCACCATATTTAAGCAGCATAACTGCAACTAGCAAAACTACACTACAAAAGTTGATTCAAGTTATTTGATTCGCTGCCGGTCACTCGTTCCAACAGTAGCATACTATTGGTAATTATTACTGACTGTCTGTTTCACCATCTTGTTTATTTATACCTCAGTTATTAAAATTTATGCTTTGAGTAACACCAAATAACAGCTTTAATCAAAATTGTTTCTGCGAAGGAGTTCGTATAGATAAAAGAAAATACCTCACCTTCGTCAAATCAGGCACATTTTCATATTGAAAGGCGGAAGAAAATTATTGTGAATAGTTTAGGAAACTGTCATCTGATATTCTCTGACAAACATGAATATAAAGGTGAGGTGAAACAATTGCTAATACTTATTGATTAAATGAAAACAGAGCATTTTCATACTGTGCACAGTTTCGCAATGGATTGCAATGCTCATAACCGTTCTTATCTTCATTTTTGTGTAAGTTTATTATTCAATAATGAAATATACCATCATCTAGACCCAACGGAGGAGTGATTTGCAAATATAGATGGGCTTATCTGGGTTTAACGTAACTTGTGAATGTACAATCTGACATTGGTTTTCTAGTGTGGTGTTAGCCTGTCTCTATGTTACTTGGGTTGTCATTTTAAGAATGAAAACCCCATTGGTGGTGAACATTGTGTTTGCAGTAATAACGGTAAGGTGTTCTCGTTTCATAGATTTCTACTTTCTTATCTATTTGAATGAAGATTTGACGTTACAGTCAGTGTCGTTTAGAACACTTACCAAGAGGCTACAAATCAAGATGATGCAATCCTTGCAATTTGACTTTGAATTATAACACTTTGCGTCTGAAGAAGACAGGTCATCTGTCGAAAAGGTGAAAGATTGTCCAAGAATGTTAACGAGGATTTTAACATCCACGCTAAAGATTGTTATGATTTTAACACTGGCAGTATTAATGAATTTAGATTCCGATAGTGTGGAAAGCACTGGTGAAGATTATATACACAGGTTAGATTGTTTTTACAAATGCACGGGATAATAGACAAAAAACCTCCTTCAACTTATGTCAAACCTGAATTTCTACGTAGTTGCATGTCAACTCACTAAGTAGTTACACATCCGCATATATACTACTCCTGCAGAAGCGGCAGATATTGTTGAAACAGGATTCAATTCAGTATATATATATATATATATATACCATGAGAAATAAGTTGGGAGCTATAGGATTGATAGGCATAATATTTCTGAATGCATTTCTGATGGTATAATTATTATACATATATATATATATATGCATTCCACACTATGCGGAGTATTCAGTTTAAGAGTCCTACCGAAACTTGATGAATTCATTAAATTCGGCTTAATTAACATTTGTTGCACTATCTCTCACTCCCATGATTTGTCGTGAGATTGTGTAACGTCACTGGGAAAACACCCTATCATCGATAGAAAATTTATTTGGTGCTCAATATCAACAAATTCACGGGTAATATGCCTTATTTAGTCGACCAGTGATCATCATGTATTTCCTCCACTTATGCTGTGCAACCAAGGTGAATATGTCATCTATTTTTTGAACAGTTGCTTAGTTGGTGTTAACTTTGTTAACATCCTCTTGTCATTCCAGAATATTTTGATGTCGGTATTTTGTGGCATGGTGACAACGTGTTTTGACGTGAAATGGTGTCTAACTTCACTTGCATTGGCCACAGTGTTCGCCGTTTTGATATTTCTGGCAGCTATATATATGAAGTCATTCACACTGCTGAACTATAAATTCTTATTTATCTGTTCGGGAATACTGGGAGCAATTTGTATCGTTCTTATTATTTCCTCAGCACTCCGATTTCCTTTGAAGGTATGTGTAATTTTACAGATTTCTTTATCCTTCCTGAGGATTTCTAATGTCTGGAAAAGAAATATTAATCGAGGTAATCTAGTTTATTGGATGAATGTCAGTCAAGAACATCATGGTTATATTAGACGTGCCATGTTCACTGAATTTTAAACTCTGCACAAAAATTGCCTTACCCCTAGGCAAACGTATTTCAATATTCTGCTGAAAGCGTCACTCAGGAATACTTTCAAACAATTATTCTTATTGCACATTCTTTCATGCTCCATGGACTCTGGTTCATTCACGCTTCATGATTTTAATTCAGTTGCCTTTGCTTTTCTCTTTACAGATAACTGCTCCGTTGTTTGCATGTGTAATCTTGTTGCTTGCAGTAGTAAGTATCAATACCTTAATGCAACTAATAATTCTCATTGACTCATCCACACTGTTTTAAATTCTAATGTAGTAGAGGGTGACTATCAGTCGATGAAAACAACATCGATTCTCAAAAGCATCCATCTGATTAGTTCACTGACCTGTCTTATTGACTGTACAAGTAGGCCACAATAAACGCCTAATAATGTGTACAGATGACCAGTCGCATGCAAGGATGTGAACTACGTGGATTTTCATATCTGAAAAACGAATGAGTTCTGTAATTCAAGTCGAATTACAGACAATCGAGATGAATTATCGATGAGATGACATGACGACCGAGATTTGTGCTATCAGCAGCGATCACACTGTCGATTTTATTACTTTGAATAACGGAAAACGTTTGATGATGCAAAAGTGATAATTGAGTGATCGAAAAACACATACTCGTTTATGAATTGCAGATTGAAGTTTCCAAAATAAGGAAGAATATTCTAATGTTTGCATTCCCCGGTAAGAGATGAGTAAACGATGCATTCACAAGTATCGTCTTAGTGTTCAGTACTGGACTGATTGATCGGATGCCATTTCAGCATACTACGTCCTAAGGATCAGTGGTTAGGACTCTCGCCGACCATGCACATGGTCCAAGGTTCGATCCCCTGCCGGCGCACATCCGATATCTATGGTCGGCCTGAATTTGGGCTACCGATATCCATGCTGAAAATTCCATACGTGAACCAAAAATACGGTGTGGAATCAAGCTGTAAATCAAAAAATCAAAAAAATAAAAAGAAATCGATTGAAGTGAATCGACAGGATTCAGTAATTCACCTTAAACGCCTCATTTTTCTTCAGTGGATATTTCATCCTAATCCTGCAGACAGGAATGATTTCGACCACACATTGTGTAGGAAATTAGGCATAAATCCTTCTTCTTCCTCCACCCTAAAAACATTTATCTAAATCCATACTAGTAGTTTGCATGTGAACATACACTTTACCCCAATGATTCTTCCTTCTGACTCAACAAATCATCTGTTCAATGAAGCAACAAGGAAATGACACGCATTCTTGTGCTCTACTTTATAAGTGCATATGAGCAATATATGAAGATTGATTGTTTAGCAGCACTACCAAGACCACCTGCACCTGATTGATCATTAGTTTTTGTGCTAACTGAATTGTATCAGATGTTTTGTGATAGTGATCAATGAGCTGATTGTAGATATGACGCCTTCATTAGCTTAAGGAAGCACGAAAACATCGTCTAGGATATACTGTCAAATGCCTTCAACCATCTAGACGACGAAGTGTTTATTATTCACATGTCACCACTAATTAAACTCAGTCAAATGTCTTTCATATAACAGTATGATAATTCTAAAGTAGTTATGCTGTGCAACATATCTACCTGTGAAGTCTATTAATGCTGTAGAGGAGACCTCTAGAAGCTTTATTAGTAATGCTATCACTATCTTGACTAATTGCACAACGCAACCATCACCATTTCTCCAACAATCCCATCTGCAGGATAGCGTGTTGCGCTATACCTGAGTGTTAAATTAGACATCGAGAATATTAACTTTAGCAGATATAACTAAAAGTAATATTGTGAGTTTACAGGTGATTTATCTCAGTTGAATAACACACTACAGTAACTGACTAGTTTAATTTATTTTCACTATTCAAACGTACACTAATCCACTTTGAATCTCTTTGAATCGTTCATCATTTCAGTTCATCTTTACAATCGTGCAATTGATATGGGACGAGAAAACAAAAGTCACACAAGGTGGAAGCATTTTCTTTGCAAGTATGACATTCACTATGACAGCTGCCTTGTTTATTGCTAACTTGTCAATGTTTCCTTATAAAAAAAATATGTCACGTGTTTGACTGAAGGTGAAGCTAATTCGTGGATTGTAGGATTCAAGCCTTTTGATATTTACGAATAAACCATTTTATAAAAACAAATTATTTCTCATTAAATGGCAAAATGCAAACTTTTCTCAAAATATTTATTTGTTTGAAAGTGATTTCATACAAGTAATAATACCTAGTGCAGAGAATTCAGAAGTCTTATCTGAAGTAGAGTGCGTCGGTGGACGTGGAATGATGTCCATCGGTTTGATATAACTGACAGAAAATTCGAATCAATGTGGTGTGCTCATATTCATTGGAAGTGTAAGTAGACATGCGAGTGTTACTTTTATTTTCAGTTGATGATAATAGGAACTAGAGAATTATGTCAACGGTAGTCAGTTACTGCGTAGGCCACGTTATTCCAGCGGACAGCAGACCACACATATACGAGATACATTGCTTTAAAATAGGGTCAAAATCCTTAGATAAATAACAGCAAAATAATAATCCGCTTCAAATGTCACAGAGCACTGAAACCAAACTTTTCGTGAATCTCCGTCACCTTATTTCATCATACATTGTATGATATTTTCTTAAAATCTTCTAGCAACACCCTACTCACGAAACATCATCAGAAAGTGGAATTTTTCCACACAGCGCCATGAGTGACTGTAAACTACTACCTCTTCATGGATTGTCCAATCAGGTATTCAAGAATTTGTACGAATTTGAAGCAGAGATTCATTTTTTCCAAGGATTCCTTCTCTCCTATACGCGCAGATTAGCATAAAATATCTTTACTAACTCATGTATGTTAATTCATAGTGTTATGCATGTGTGAGGAAACTAGCACGAATCGATTTTACATAAACACACGCACACGCAGACGCACAGAATTATGAATAAACGCGAATAAGCCATAACGAAGACACATTCAACACATCTGCTACTTGATGCTTAAACGCCTTTGCACAGAGGTACATACATGCAAACATTAAACCTTTGCAACACCAGTGAATTATACCGTCAAATCCACTGATTATTCCTCACTCGCCACATCCACTACAACTAGACGCGACAATTGTTTGTTCACGCTGAGATGAACTGATTTACTGCATAGGCAATCACAAGTCTTCCTAGTGTACCACGCGTAACATTTGACCACTATTTTCTTTATCTTCTCCACCTTTCGTCCATATTATCCTCGGGTGATTTATTTCTCATTGCAGTGAACTTGTATTCTCACCATCACAAATGTTTCCCGTAGGCTGTTCGTAGAATGTGTTGAGTATAATGTAGAGACTGATTACTCTATTTTCTTTCGGATATGTTTAGCGAAAGTTTCAGAGATTTTAAAGAAACTATGTCAAGTGGCGTCAATATATGTTTGCAAACTATAAATGGCTTGGATATATGTCTATGCTTAATAATCGAAAAGAGAATAACTAGTCGTCTGGTCTTAGACATAGATTAATGTAAGTGTACGACATAAGCCTTGCGGTAGTATATGATTCCAAGTTAGATAAGTTTATTTCATGCATTACACAAACTGATATGTTTTCGATCAATAATTTGTGCTCGAAACGTCATCCAGTTATTAATATTGTATCACTGTGTAATATTTGAAATGAGCTTATCTAATATGGAATTAGGCATATATCATTAAAACTGTAAACATCAGTATCTCTCTTCTTCAAAACTGCTCAACTTTGTACCTTAATTGTAAGCTCTTTAGAATGTGTTTTGAAAATGTCAACAAAGAGGGTTAATTCCATGTCGCTATTGTTAGATTTGCTGTGAATTGTTTACATT